TACAATTCCAGTAAACAGTACATGATTTAAGATAATCCTATGAATTACCTGACGTAAGCTACGTTTTTTAGACTTGTAATTTAATTACTAACAGGGTTGACCAAGAATCAGCTTAAAGATAGGAACTTGAGTTTTTAGACTTGTACAATCAATACCAAGAGATTTGACCAAGAGTGAACTTAAAGATAGGAACCTTAGTTGTTATCCTTGTACAATCAATACCAAGACCAAGGACCAACTAGCAGATAGGTCCCAAAACCTATCCTAATGAAAAAGGCTTGTTTCATTCTTTCTAAACTGTGACCTTTTTAGTTAACCATTTACTAGAATTATTGTGTCTAAAGAGAAATTTGATTCTAGCCACCTCACCTCCACCTTGATTTGATTTATTTACCTAATTAATGAACTTTTAACTAATTAACTGGACAGTGCAGATAATAGATTTCTTAAATCTTCTTCACTTGGACTAATTATATAGCTGAAATAGGAATGGTTTAAGTTAGTATTTAGGATGTGATTGTTGACAGATGTTAGCTGGCACAGTCCTAAAAAACTAGACCTTGAAGTGTGAATTTGAAATGGATTTTGTTTACTTGGATTGAGAAGTTTTAGATTGTTGACCGATGTATAAGACTATATATTTTATTTTTTATATTTTAACATTGTGGTCAGACAGACAGCAGTTTGTAGTCATCATTAGTTCAGACAGTGTTTTCAGACACTACTATTTATATAAATAATATATGATGTCTGTAGATATTTTATTATATGTATATGTAAACATTGTGGTCAGACAATAGCTGGAGTTTGGCGTCACCATCAGCTTCTAGAATGTTTTCAGGCACTACTATACATACTGTATGTATAATATTTGTTGTTGTTTATCTTGAGGTATATTTAGGGAAGGAATTAAACCATGGCTTACTGTAACTATAAATATACTGACTTGATTATAATTACACCAAGCCTATTATCTATCAGGCAATATACTGTTGACTTGTTCAGGTTATAAGTTCTTCACCTTGATACTAGAATATAGAGAGTGGTTCCTGGTATTCACAACAGTCAAGGTTTCTGTCTCAAACAACTAGTGTCATTCCTGGTACTACAGAGTGGTTCCTGGAAGTTCTACTGTTTTTTGAACATTGTTCCTGATGATGTTACTAGTTGTTTAATTTGGTACAAGAATATAGAGTGGTTCTTGTCCAAAATACATTCCTGGTACTAGAGCATGGTTCCTTGTATTTTAACTTCTGATAGAAGATTGTTCAGTTGGAATTAGAATATAGAGAGTTGTTCCTGAAATTGACAACATTGTTCCTGTTAATATTACAAGACTTTCAAACATGCATTACAGAGCGGTTCCTGTTATTTACTGACTGCTATTAGAGTTTGGTTCCTGTTGATATTATAAGTTATTTATCTTGGTAGTAGAGGGTTGTTAATGAACAATGTTCTTGTTGATGTTATTATTCATTCTTACTGGTTGTAGAGTGGTT